TTCATTTAACAGTAATGCTATTAAAACAAAATACCATCCTTCATTAAGTGTCAGAATTGTTCCTGTATAAATACTTTAAACATTCTTCATTTTTACTAACTCTTACATAGCATTTAAAACTACAGCAAAAGAGCCCGGAGGTGTGGCTCAGTGGCTGAGCGTTGACCCTGCACCAAGAGGTCGCCGGTTCGATTCCCGGTCAGGGCACATGCCCAGGCTGTGGGCCCGATCCCCAGTGGGGGGCATGCGGGAGGCGGCCAATTGATGTTCTCTCATCGATGTTTCTATCTCTCCTCTCTCCCTTCCTCTATCTCTAAAATCAATGAAGAAAAAAAATTAAAAGAAAAAGACACAAATACAAACGAAAGTGTTTATCAAGTGCTCTTCTGTAAGAGGTAGTACTTTGCTTTCTTCATACCACCTTCCTTTCAATATGCTGAGACTTGAAAAATAATGCAGAAAAACATGTTATATGTAATCGAATGAAAGACCAATAATAAAGAACATTAATTTTAATGCTTCTTTAAATGTACAAAACTCAGATCCAACTGGATTTTAAGTTAATCATGTTTGCCGTTGCTGATACTCAGCACTGTCCTACTGTCAAGATAGAAACGTGCACCACCACCTCTTCCCAGCATCGAGGCACAAGCCGGGCCCCTTCCGCCTGCCTGATACCAGGCTCACTGTGGTCACTGTGACTGTACTGTGGTTACCCCGGGCCCACACTGCTAGTCACCTGAGCCCTGCTCCTCCCTCCTCATCTCTAATGACTGTGTTCATGCATCACTGCTACAGTAACTTCCCCAAAGTGTAATTTTCTTTTATTTACTATTATTGTTATTACTATTGTTGTTGCTAATCCTCACCCAAGAATACGGGGGGAGGGAAGAGGGGGAGAAAAACACTGACATGAGCGAGACACATCGATTGTTTGCCTCCCCCATGCGCCCCCACTGGGGCAGGGGACTGAACCTGCAGCCCAGCACCTACCCTTGACGGGGAATCGAACCCACCACTCTGGTGTGTGGAAGGGGGATGGGGGGGGTGGTGTAGTGGTCTGACCATTGAGCCACACCAGCCAGGGCCAAAGCGTCATTTTCTTTATGTCGCACATCTGACTCTAACAAGACCTCTACCCCACTCCTACAGAATATTTATTTTCTATTAATCAGCTTTTCCAGAAAGAGCTTTCAATTCTTTCCTCACCTATCCAAAGTCTACTGATCTTTCAAAGCCCAGCTCAAGCATCCCGTCCGATCTCTGCTTGTACTTCTCCGCGCCAGAGAACCCTGACTGGAGGTAGCCACGCCCCCTGGCGTCCACGTTCACCCGGCAGAGCGAGTCGTCATCACACGTATGACACGCGCACACACCTCCTGACATGACCGTAACCCAGGAGGGGGACCCTGCTCTTTACCCTCCGATTCTGCCCTTCTGACTGGCACGGTTTCACGGGACCAAAGAGAAGGAAGGTCCCGCAGAACAAAAGTCAGTGCTCTGGGCAATGAACTGGGAGGAGTGTGTCGTTGGCCAGAGGAGTCGAGTCGGAAGGAACCTCGGGGTAAGCTGGCACCTGAGGTGGGTTTTGAAAGTCAGCAGGTCTTCCCCAGGAGACAAGAGGAAGCCACCGGGAGGAAGGGACGGTGTGAACAGAGAGGGGTGACATACAGAAGACGATTTTGGACCCTTGGCTGAAGGGGACTATGTATGTTGGAATAGAAAAAAAAAATTAAACATCTGTTCAATGACCAAGGCTTGAAGATATTTGTAATGTTAGGCATGTTCATCACTATCTTAATCAAGGACCTCATTATTTTTTGCTGAAAACAATTAGCATCCTAACTGTCTATTTTTGGTGTCTCCCCCTCCAAACTACCCTTCATATCACTGCCAGATGAATTTATTTTTTTGAAACTTTTCTGTTTTTTAAAAAAAATTTTGTCTGCATTGATTTTAGAGAGAGAGGAAGGGAGAGGGAGAGAGAGAGAGAAACATGGATGAGAGAGAACATCGATTGGTCGCCTCCTACGTGCCCCCCACTGGGGATCCGGCCCACAACCTGGGCATATGCCCTGACCAGGAATCGAACCGGGGACCTCTGGTGCAGGGTCGACGCTCAACCCCTGAGCTACACCAGCTGGGCCAGATGAAAGTTTTACAAAACACAATTACTATCCAAAATATCTGTCAACATTTTTCAAAGACGGCTGGCTAATTACTCAAAAATAAGATCTAACCCCCCACAGCGTTTGAAGTTTACAATCCTGTCCAGCCTCATCCCTCAAGCCCCCCAGCAGATTCAAAGCGTACGGAATGTCCCCCTTTGTCCTTCGCACCATCTACAGCAGCGGTTCTCCACCTTCCTGATGCCACCACGCTTCACACGGGTCCTCATGTCATAGTGACCCCAACCAGAAAATTATTTTTGTTGCTACTTCATAACTGTAATTTTGCTACTGTTATGAATTGCCATCGGAAATATGTGTTTTCCGATGGTCTTAGGCGACCCCTGTGAAAGGGTCGTTCGACCCCCAAAGGGGTCGCGACCCGCAGGTTGAGAACCGCTGCCCTACACATTTCAAACCACTGCGTATGCTGGGCTCCGTGCGTGCAATGCTCCTGCCCCCCAATTACACCCAGCAGCCTCTAGTCGTCATTCAGGGTCTGCTCGGATGTCATTTCCTACTGGGAGCCCCCCGACACTTTTCTCCTGACAGCGTTGGGGGGCCTCTCTAGATGATGCACCGCACCTCTCCGTTTCACAGAGCACTTACCAGACCGCGCTGTTTGCACACTCATCTCTGAGCACATTCTTGGGGCCTGGCCGGGGAGCTCAGTTGGTTAGAGCATCGTCCCGATACGCCAAGGTCACAGGTTGGACCCCGGTCTGGGCACATATAAGAACCAACCAGTGAATACACAAGTAAGTGGAACAAATCAGTGTCTGTCTCTGTGTCTCTGTCTCTCTTTCTCCCCTTCCTCTGCCCCTCCCTCTCTTTCTCTAAAATCAACTTAAAACCTTAACATGTTCTCTGAAAGCAAAGCAGGGCCACTTGCACCCTCAGTGCCTGGCACAGAGCAGGTGTCCGCAGGTGCGGGGAGAGAGAAGGCTGCAGGCGGGTGGCCCTCGCTCGACACTGTCACTGACTTTACTGTTCCAGGAGAGCGTCCTCACTGTGGGAGGCTGACAGCCACCGACGCACCTGCAGAATTACCTTGGGGAAGCTAAATGAGCAGCAAACTGTAGAGGGAGACCGTGAGGAGAGGCACAGTCAGGAGTCCTGCAACACTTCCGGTGAAATGCGGTGTGAGGACCTGAACTCGGATGGTGATGGATCAGAGAAAAGGTGAAACATTCACGATACGCCATCGAGGCAGAGGGATGGGACCGAAGTCCCCGAGTGAGGGTGGGAGAGAAGGAGGGAGAAGCCGAGCGAGCGCCGAGACACTCAGCGTGGGGGACAAAGAGGTCCAGCGGCAGAAATGGGGACACGGGCCCAGAGCGTGAAATGGGAAATACGAGTGTAACCCTCAGAAAAAGTTCACACAGGAGACGTAAGGCTGAGAAAGGTCATTAGAGAGGTGATCACTGAAATCACGACATTAGAGAAGCCACAGGGAAAAACAGAAGAATTGCAGAAATGAAACCTTAGGGAAGGTCGTGATTTAAGAGTGGGAGCAGAAAGAAATGTCGACGGACTAAATAAAGAAGAAAGACTGAAGAGCACCGGGTCATAGAAACCAAGAAAGTTTCAAGAAAGACAAAAACGGCAAACACCACAGTGAGCAAAGAGTATGAAACACAACAGAAGACAATTAGAAAGTCATGAGTATTTTTTAAAAGAGCAAATGTAGCAGTTTTGGCAGGAAATAAAAGAAGATGCTATAAGGAAGTAGAAGCCATCGGCAAAGACTAGGTTTTCATGAGGAGCAAGTACAGGCGCTTCATCAATGTCCCGCCTTGGCCAGGTGGCTGGCTGGTTGGCGCATCGTCCTGTGCACCAGAAAGGTCGTGGCTTTGATTCCCGGTCAGGGCACGAACCCAGGTTGCAGGCTCAGTCCCTGGTGAGGGCACGTAAGGAGGCGGCACCCAATGCTTCTCTCTCACATGGATGTTTCTCTCCTCCGTCTCTCGCTAAGAATCAATAAAAACGTATCTTCGAGCAAGGATTTTTTTTTTATACTCACTCGAGGACCCCCTTCCACTTTTTGTTCAGATAGAGTGGGAGGGAGAGAGAGAGAAAGAAACATCGACGTGAAAGGGAAACATCGAGTGGCTGCCACCCACACGACCAACCAGGACTGGGGACAAACTGCAACCAAGGTACGTGCCCTCAGCGGGAACCGAACCTGAGTCTCTCTGGACCGCAGGCCGATGCTCTAATTGCTGAGCCAAACCGGCCAGGGCCGGGCAAGGTTTTTTTAAAAAGTGTATGTCCTATCTATTTTTTAAAAATGTAGATCCCAGAAGAATTGAATCCTTTTACCTGATCATTTGAGTCTCAAAATAAATCTGAAAATAATGAATCTGATTTCTCTATACAGACTGTTCTAGAATGATTTTTTCCCCCATCCCTGGTCTGACTGCGGTTCCTACTTCTTTAAATTCTATATCTAAAGATCTGTTACTCTAAGATAGTTTTGTCCTAAAATGCGTCAGTGTTTCAGAATAATGCAAACATTCATTTTTACATAATCTTCCATTCTGCGCTCCGCTTAGCCATCGTTAGAGGGAAGAAGTAAACACATAAACATCACTGAATGCTTATTCTCCACAATCAGAATAAAGGAAGAGTTATTAGTAACACATGAACACTTTTCACTCCTGCAGAGGGTCCACGTTATTAGGCGAGGAGAAAATGTTAGAACTAATGATTCAGAAGGAAGGTGGTTAAAGAAACTACGTAAGTTACAGGTGCAGGGTGACTTCGAAGAACTGTAACTGTTAGCAGAGGAGGGTTCCCGTTTCTCTAACTTCCTCGGCGGCCTGTGCTCACCTCGGGCTGTGGCTGGAGGCGAGGCTGCTTCCGATCTCCCGCCAGCTTCGAGCTATGCTTCCATCTCATGAATTCCAGGACCGCGTTGAACTGACGCATATTTTCACAGATCTGTTCAGAAGAGAAGAACTTATTTCAGACTGAAGAACGTTTATTTGTCAGAATAACACACGCAGAAGCAATACTAAAAATTAATCATATGTGAAAGTGTACATTTTCAATGTAAATTCAATGAAAAGTTCTACAGTATTTTAGAAACCTATCCGTGGACCATTTCCCAACCTCTACCCCAAGAAACTTCCTATTTTGAGTATTTTTATATTTACAAAGGTGACAGGCCCTGGCTGGGGGGCTCAGGGTTGGCTGGAGCATCGTCCCGTACACCAAGAGGTCGCGGGTTCGATCCCGGTCCAGGAATGAACAGGAGGCAGCCGACAGATGTCTGTCTGTCTGTCTGTCTGTCTCTCTCTCTCTCTCTTCCCCCTTCCCTCCCTCCATCCACCCGCTCTCTAAAATCTCCTTTAATCCTTGAGTGAGGATTTTTTAAAAAGTGTATTAAAAAAAGGTAATTCTATGGAAAAAATTACTCATATGTAAAATTTCTGAATTGGCTCAGGCCTTTGGAAAAAAAAATCACATCTCAAATCGAAAAAACAGAAACAGCTAGAAGCAGCACTACAATGGACAATTCTACAACATTCTGACTTCCCACTTAGGCAAAAATGTATTTGAACACCCAGCTAGTACCCCTGTTTTCACTTGTTTTTTATTTAATCCTCACCTGAGGATATTTTTTCCTTTGACTTTTACAGAGTGGAAGGGGGGGAAGGGGAGAGGGGGAGTGCGAGGGGGAGGGGGGAGGGAGAGAGACAGAGACATTGATATGAGAGAGACACATAGATTGGTTGCCTCCTGCATGCACCCCGACCGGGGCTGGGATCAAATCTGCAACCCAGGTATGTGCCCTTGACCAGGAATCGAACCCGAGACCCTTCAGTGTGTGGGCCAATGCTCTAACCACTGAGAACACTGGCCAGGGCCCTATTTTATAAAAATATATTTCTTATTGATTTTTTAGAGAGAGAGAAAGGGAGAGAGACACACACATACATTGATGTGAGAGCGATACATGGATCGAGCTGCAACCTGGGCATGTGCCCTGACCGGGAATCAAACCGGACCTCAGTCCATGGGACGAGGCTCAATCCACTGAGCCACACCGGCTGGACTCCTATTTTCACGAAGTCTCGGGAAGCACTTCTTAAATTTCAGACTTCTACCTAGAACATTAGCGCTTGTGAAGGTCAACAGTTCACGGCACTGCGTGGTCTGAGTCCACGGCAGGTTTACCCACCCGGCTACTGTCATGAGCGCCCTCCTGCATGAAGAGACAGTGCTCATCGGTCTGCAGGCCGGAAACAGAAGGCTGAGCACAGGCCTGCTGTTTACCTCGAGATCTTAAACATTCCTTAAGGCGTCTTTTAACCGAAACTTCACACCGCAAGGACTGTTCCCTATTGACCAGGAGAAAGTCTGAGCCGTGTGAACACCACACCGGTGCCCCACTGCAAGGTCACCGTGCCTTGTCTTCCCGTCCACTCAGAAGTCATGCAGGTCACACTGAGGGTCAGCGGTCTCGGCAGGAACGACCGCGTGCGTGCGCACGGGCCAGCTGCAAGGCTCTCCCCATCAGAGCCCGTCTCAAGTGGGCGTCGCCACGTGGCGGACAGGCCTGGCCGGGAACCCCGAGTCTGCATCCAGGGGCCTCGGCCAGGCCCCTCCCTGCACGGTCTTCCACACCCTACCAGGTCCCTGACGTCCCTCAGGGTGTTCATGTGACTCAGACCACCTCTCAGAACACGAGGGTGGGCAGGAATGGAGACTTCTTGTTTAGGTTTTTAAAATTATTTTTTCTGAGATGTTTCATCTTAGAAATTTCCCTTATACTAATAAAAATAAATAGCTACATTGTGCTCCCATTCTGGAAACGGCATAAAGGTTCTTCTCCAAACCCACTGGCCAGCAACCCCATGCCCCTGCGAGGGGTGAGTGGACGCAGAGGCGGCGATCGGGTGAGCTCGCTCTCATGAAGGTTAAACCCACCGACGTTTAAAACATGTGGCTGCCTAATTCTACCAGAGATTTCTCGTGGATCGGGTAATAAGATTAACATGCGAACTACTCACTGGCCACTGTTTGTCACAGCACTATTTATGACAACACAGTTTCCTTGGTGTGAAAAAAAGTTTCAAGCTTTAGGCTAAACCTAAAGTTTATAATAAAGGAAAACACATAAACAAAAGAATCTTCGGGCGTACCGTGTTCAAAGTCCAAGACCCTGAACCATCTATCCGTTCTCTCACGTGTACAGAACAGAACACGTCAGCTCCCGAAAGCTTCCCCGAGGGCCGGAGTGAGGACCAGCGGGGTCAGACCGCTTCTGTCCTTGACGCAAGGACCTGGAGGTCGGGTCTGCAAACACCCTTCTGCAGAGCAGAACCTCCGAGAAGAAGCCCAGCGCCCCCTAACTTTGCAGTGCAGCGCTGCAGCCCCACCAGCAGAGATCTATGCCCGTAGTGTGGAGACAGCACTTACACAGGCAAGAGGTCGCTAACAAGTCTACCCTCAGCTTCCACGGTGATATACCACAAGCGTCTTGTGCCGTGAACTTGTGTCGACAACCACAACTGAACACTAAGCAAGGATAAGTAACACAATGGTCGTTGAAAATTTTCAAGCCTGGAAGTTCTAGGAAACACCTTAAGGAAAAGGTGATTCTTTGAAAAACACACCAGAGCTTCTTAATGACTCAGAATTCATGAAAATCAAACCTGTCTAGATAATACAGTCTAACATTTTGTAATATAAAGCCATCGTGAGAATTTACTCGGTAAGACGCAAACAAATGGGAAAAGTTCATTTTAACCCCACACTGCCTCACAAAGTATCCTTTCGCCATCAAATTGTACACATCCTTCTCAATTCTCAAAATTATCCGAGTGGTTAAATCTTAAACAACTGAGGTGCTTTAAAATCACTAATCAGGGTGCTTTAAAGAGCCCGGCTGGGCCCTGGCCGGTTTGGCTCAGCGGTTAGAGTGTCGGCCTGCGGTCCGGAGAGACCCGGGTTCGGTTCCCGCTAAGGGCAAGTACTTCGGTTGCAGTTTGTCCCCAGCCCTGGTTGGTCATGCGGGTGGCAGCCACTCGATGTGTCCCTTTCACATTGATGTTTCTCTCTCTCTCTCTCTCTCTCTTCCTCCCACTCTATCTGTACAAAAAATGGAGAAATGTCCTCGGGTGAGGATTTAAAAAAAAAAAAAAAAAAGAGCCCGGCTGGTGTGGCTCAGTGGACTGAGCGCCGTCCCATCAACTGAGAGGTCCCAGTTCGATTCCTGATCGAGATACATGCCCGGGTTTGGGGTTCAATCCCCAGTAGGGGGCATGCAGGAGGCGACAGATCAATGTTTCTCTCTCTCTCCCCCTGAAAAATCAATGAAAACATATTTTAAAAGAAGAAGACCCCACCCGTGACAAACCTCAGTTGTAGGCAGTATGCCTGTGCCTGGCTCTGAAACGTCAGAGCATCACCCATCAGCTCCGACACTAATGAGATTTACTTTACAGAATAGTGTAAACACGCTTTTGATAAGTATATCAAAATTCACAAAATTGGCAATACTGAGCACACATTCCCCTTCCCTCACTCCACACCCCTCCCTCCTTCCCGTTTTCCTTCTCCTCCTCTCAGCGCCCGTAAGAAGACCCCCGCCCCCACAAACTGTACAAATGCCGCTGTAACACCACCGCTGCACTCATGTAACCACACAACAATACAAACTGGCCCTGGCTGCTCAGTCGGTCGGAGCGCGGTGCCGATACGCCAAGGTGGTGGCTCAGTCCCGGGTCGGAGCACACTCAAGAACCAATGAACGCATGAGCGAGTGGGACACAAACCTCCCCACTCCCTCTCTCTGCCCAGCCCCCTTCCTCGCTCTCAAAAAAAAAAAATCAATTAGTCAAGCAATCAGTAAAAACGCCCCTGGATGGTGTGGCTCAGCAGTCAGAACACTGGCCCACACCCCCAAAGGTTGCAGGTTCGATTCCCAGTCAAGGGCACATACCTGGGTTCCCGGCCCCAGTCAGGGTGCGTGTCGGAGGCCACCAATCGATGACGTCTCTGTCTCACACTGTTGTCAATCTCTCTCTCTCTCTCTAAAAATTGATGGAAAAAACACCCTTGGGTGAGGATTAACAAAAGTAAATAATAAAATAAATAAGAACCAAATTACAAAATAGTGTTTTACAAAATGGTTGGCTCCTAAAAGCATCACTGTTAGAACCTTTGGTACCTGGACTAGAAAACTCAAACATGCTTCAGAAATACACACTACAGCTTTAGGTGTGAGCAACTGACATGAGTAGTGTAACTGAGGTTAGTCTACCAAGCACTTTTCTTCTTTTTAAAGTTTTTTTTATTGATTTTTAGAGAGAGAGGAAAGGAGAGGGAGGGAGAGACAGAAATATCAATGTAAGAGCAGAACTGATCGGCTGCCTCCTGCACGCCCCCGACTGGGGACCACGCCCACAAGCCCAGGCATGGGCCCTGCCCGGGGCTCGAACTGGCGACCTTTTGGTGCCCAGGACGATGCCCAACCAACCAAGCTGCACCGGCCGGGGCTCTCATGCACTTCCGTGGTAAAGCATGCCACACACAGCTCAGAAAAGGAAGGTCGATTTATGGATGGGTGTGTTCTACATGTTCCAAAAGATTCATTGATAAATTAAACACAAGCTTGAGTTGGAAACTCAAGATGCCTTTTCTCATAAAACCAAAGACATAACAATGGTATTAAACCCTCAATACACACGAAGCCTATTTCCACACCAAACCGTAAGTCTTATTCATGGTTATATCCTCGAGTCTAGCATAGCAGGTGACACAGATAGGATTTCAACAAATATAAGTTGATCTAAGTATTTTTAAATTTATTATTATTATTATTATTTTACAATCTTTATTGATTTTAGAGAGTGAGGAAGGGAGAGGAAGAGAGAGAGAGAAACACTGATGAGAGAGAACATCAATTGGCCGCCTCCTGCACACCCCCCACT